TTTTTTTTTTTTTTTGTGATTAATACTAATTATTATTTTGTTTTGTCTATTTGATTATTATCCAACTTTTTTCTGTTGTTTTTTTTGTTTTTGAATTTAAAATTTCTAAAAATTAGATCCTGTGTTTTGTCTTCTGTTATTCTTCTCAATTTTACACGTAGAAGTCTACGTTCATAAGTCATTTTTTTTTCACTGCTAGAAAACAATAGGCTTTGGAATAATTTATAAAATTTTGTAAACTTTTTAACCTTTTTGAACCACATTAATTTAACTTTTTAGAAACTTCCCAAACTGTTTAAGCCTTCATAAATTTCACTTTTTTCTTCCTATTCACTATACTTGAAGCTTATAAAATTGTTGGCTAAAATTAGTGAAAAATTTTAGCAGTAGACTCTATGCAACTGTAAACCGGCCAAGATATAATACAACCATAAGTCTGCGATACGGTAGTTGGATGTGTTTTGGACTTTTTTCAGAGATCTCTAAAATTTGCTATTTTAAGCTGAAAAATTCTTTTTCTCTCTCTCTTTTTTCTCTTACTTAATCTGCATTTAATCTTTACTATTAATCCTGTCTGAACATCTCAAAAACTTTCAAAAACTGTCGTTTAATTTTTTTGCTGTTGCTGCTTAGTGATGTAAAATTTTGGTAAAACTTTATTGAACAATTCACAAATGCAGTAAAACTATTTCTATCCAAATCTTAAATTTTTTTTTAAACTTGTTTTTTGACCTGTAAACTGTGTATTTCTTGTCTATTTAGTAATTCATCGTTGGTGAATACGCTAGGACCTGTACATTTGAAGAGTGAAGATGAGGAAGAAAAAGGCAGGCGTAGAAGAGGTGCAAAACGGCAAGAAAAGCCTCCTTATTCGTATATAGCATTAATAGCTATGGCTATTCATGCCAAACCTGATAGAAGAGCAACTCTTACAGAAATTTATACTTATTTGCAGAATCATTTTGATTTTTTTAGAGGTAAAATATTTAGATTAAACATTATGTTTCAGTGCTCAAGTTTTCTATTCTTTAGTACTTTTAGTAGAACGTGATGATTCAGTCATTAGAAGTCATTGAAAAAAATTCTAAAAAGTCAGGTAAGAAAACGCACTAAATATTTAGTAAACTTCGATTTTATTTCTAGTAAATGATCTAACAAAAATATAGTACTTTTTGGAGAAACTCATAACTTTAGTGGCAGAATTTATGTTAATATTTACATTTATTTTGATAATAATTAGTCTTCTGATTGAACAGCTTAAATTTTTCTTTTTACTGCTGTATCTGTTTTCTAGGAGATTATAATGGATGGAAAAATTCGATACGGCATAATCTCTCTCTAAATGAATGTTTTGTAAAGTTACCAAAAAGTTCAGGCGGAAGAAGCGGGAAAGGTCATCAATGGACCATAGAACAAAATTGTGAATTTTTATTTGAGCAAGGTTCTTACAGAAGACGGCCACGAGGTTATAAAGCAAGAACCCGAACTACTGATTATCAGCCTGAGCAGGTTAATTTGTAAAAAAAAAAAAAAAAAAAAGCTGAATTATTTGCAGTTAATAGGAAATTATAAAATTTTACTAATACATAAAAACTCTTTCTTCACATTTATTTATTTTTAGTATGAACAACTTTGTGTTTCTTCAACGGTTTGTGAACCTCAGTTCGTTGTTGACGAACTTCAACCATTACAAAGTGCACCACCGTTCCTGACGCAATGCCAGAATCCTTTTTGGACAACCACTTACGACTGCACTCAGCAGCAGTGGTCTTCATTACAAACTACCAATTACGGTATGCCAGCAGCTTCGTCGACGTACGTATACGATCAGTGCCAACAGCTTCCAACGGTATATGGATCTGAGGAATGCTATCACTACACGATAGATCCAACGTCGACTCAATCGGCTAACGAAGTTTCTATAACAGCTCCAGCACAATTTAGTGCTGCTGTCGAATATCCTCAGTATGTTATGCAACCAACAAATGTTAACCAGTGATCTTAAAATTAACATTTTTAGTTCTTCACAAATATGCAATTTTGTTTATTTTTCTACTTAACATTTTTCAGTATTGCTGAACATCAGTCAAACATTTTGAACACTTAAAAATTACAATTAAATTTTTAATTTAACTTAACAATAAAGATAAGAAGGAAAAAAGAGGTAGACTTTGTGCTTAATTTCTTACTGATATAACTGTCGATAAATTAAAATGAAACCTATTATTTTTTATCATTTTCTTCCTTTCTCATTTTAATTTTGTAACTGTTATCATTGTTTTTTCTTTTGCAGAAAATAAAAATTATTTTTTTTATTGTCTTCTATAATGCTTTTATGGTTTTCTAATTAAGTTAATTGGTTTTACTATTTAAATTTTTTATTTCTAAGACTTTAAAATGATAAGCGATTGTTTGAGGTATGTAAATATGTGTGTGCACGTGTATATAACTGTTTCTGTTACTGGCAAAATTGGTTTTTTGCTTCATTTTTTTTATTAAGTTATAGCATTCAAAGAAAGGTTTTTAATGGAATGGCAACATCGTTGGCTAACATATAGGATAAGCCTTATGACTACTGCGTACAGCCAAACGTTGGTACCAGCACTGAGGCTGGGACTTGGTGAATCAGCGCATATCATAAGCATCGTGTTACAGTTGTTGGTTTTCAGTCTAGCAAACTAACTGTATATTACCACCTTCGATATTTGTTTAAATTTTTTAAAATTTAATTTTTTCTGCAAATTTTTGTTGCTACATTTTTTGACCAATGAAATTATAAATGTTTTTCTGATTACAGTAACCCTAAACACTAATATTATTGAGCTGTTATTTTTTTTCTTGCATAAAGCTTTCCGCAGCGAGAAAGTTTTTTTTTTTTTTCGAAGTCATAGACGAAATTTAAGCATCGTTTTTCGCAAATTGCCCAAACAACAAACATTTCTGATATATTTTGAGCCAAGTTTGCTGTAAATGTTCGCGGTCATAACTTGCCCAGATATGTTTCCATCGATTTTCGGGAAACACAGCGTGTTGACGTACTGAAAACAAATAGACGTACGTTTATCTGTTTCTCCAATGATGCAATTCTCTGAACACTTCAAAAAGTCGTCTGGCAGAGATCAATTGTTTCAAATTTGTTTTCCATCTGTAGCCATATTGCCTTTGTTGTCCAAAGTATTTCAGGTCGTTATTTGTATGCTAGGGTTACAAGGACTGCTATTCAAATAACGCTAAGGTTCTTTTCATCTTCCTCCTCCTATTTTACGCTCTTTCTATCTTTTCGGCAATCATGGGTGTGATATCAGCAGCGCTCTCGCAAGAAATACTAAGAGTACTTGTAAGAGCATTCTATTTGACATTTTAACAGTATTTCATTTTATTTGTTGATACCTAAACACTTAAACATTTATATAATACAACTGTAAATCATGATTTTGGCTAAAATATTACTTTAACATGAAACTCTTATGATGTAGAACATGGCTTATCAGCAATTTCCCAACAATCGTTTTTCAGATGTGGATTACTGCAATTAGTGTTACGGAAAAAAAAATAAACTGAAGTTAAATAGAACATTAGCTGAAAACAATTAATAACCAAAAATTATAAAAAGAAAAACAAAAAACAGTATGAAAACTAAGTTTTTCATTAAAAAAAAAAGTGCTCTATGTGCATCCGATTAATGGTTACTTTAAGAAAACATGAAAGATACATTTTTTCTTTCTATTCAACTTTCGAGCTCTATCCAATCATTCTGTAATTTTTTTATTACAACTGTTTATACATCCTTTTACAAGATGACCTGTGGTTGAAGTGAAAATTTTTTTGCTGTAAGGCTATATGAGGAACAAAAGAAGGTGGCGGCATAAGTTGTTAGTATAATCTTGATTACCTACCACTGAAGCTTAGTGTAAGATATACTAAATTCATTTTTGGGTCGTATTTTTGGTTACAAAATCGTAAAGCATTTATATTTTTGAAATAACAACTAATTGAACAATCAATTTCATAAAGTTTCTTTTTTGCTCAATGTATTTATGTATCGGAGAAGATGTGATATTCGCTAATACAAAAGACGAGTGTCATTTGAACTGTGCGCATGAATACATGTATTCTCGTGGATCATCGCTAGACATCAAAGGTACCAGAACACTTGTTTTCTTCCTCGCGTAGCGTCCATCGTAACGGTTCTGTACAGTCATTGTGGCTGTCTCTGTTCCTTCAGTAACTTTGTCTATAATATAACAAGCAAAATTTTACTAAGATTTTTGAATAAAAAGTAAAACTTGACATTTGTTTCATCTTTTGACAAAGAAAGAATGTCTTTCCAAAAAAGTCATTCTTACCGAATAGAGTTAGAAAGATTAGATGACCTGTGTCTATTTCATTATACTTCAGAAACTTTCAAGTAAGATTTAGATTGAGTAAAAACACCTAGCCCTTTAAGATGCAAAAAAGTAACAGATGATCGAAA